TCTGGCACAGGATCGGGAACGTTGGAAGCACTGTCTGACGTGTCTGCCTCCGCGACTCGAAAGGAGAAGCAGCGATGGAAGATGAAGATGAAGATGAAGATGATGAGAATTTGCAACTGAGAATAATTCTCTCGGTCTCTTGAACCGTGGTGGTGAGCTCTAATTGGAGATAAAACATCGTCTTCTGCGACCATATACCCTGACCTTGAGAAGAGCATGAACAACTTGTGTGCAGCTTTGAGTAAATCAAGGTACAAAATTTTGAGTCTTACGCTCTCTTTAACCCTCCCCCCTGAATGCGATTGCGAAAGTGTATGCGAAGATGTTTTCAGGCGAGTCACTGTGAATTTTGTTGTTTTTGCAGACTGACTGATTAGTTGATTGCATTACTAGCACACTACTGTATTAGTAATATGGGCGGTTCTTTCGTGTTGTATTCGTGTATTGCTTTGTCAGCGTTAATAGAATTTTACGTTGTCTTGCTGGCAATTTGTTACTGTTTTTTAATCAAAGTTTGAATGCTGTTAGTAACGATGCAACATAAGTCAAATTTAGTATGCTTTTCATTGAAGATTAAACAATGACGCATGTACATCTTTGTCTCAGACGCCGATAGATGACTTGGTTTGATCAAACGGCCCCTAAAGGAGAATGGCGATCTTTCGAAAAACTTCCTCACTTGGCAACCGTGCATTGGCCGTAGACGCGTTATTGGAACAAGAAGCAAAACAGAGGAACACATCACTGATGCAGAACAGCGTACGAAAAGGAATATGGCCTTGCCGCAACAGTGAACATGGCTTAATATCAATCCAAAGTACCATTTCTAATGTCCGTACATCGTAGAGCTGGGTCAGACTGCTGTCTGAGCTCCACCAGCCTTTGATGACTATGACAGAATAACAACAATTTTTGTGACACTGCGATCGACCAGCAAAACTGACCCAGCAGGTAGTGAGTCAATTTAATTTATTATCTAGAAGGGCCAGTGGCAAGCTGCCCAAAAGTTCATAAAAGAATTATTAAGAAACGTTATTTAAAGAATGTAAAGGCACGTTATACAGCAATTTGAGATAGGCTAAGAAAAAAAGGAGAGCATAATAACGTGTTTTGTGATACAGATAGTACACTCAGGTTCTTGGGTAAAGTACGATATAATAGCGATAAACGGCTGTACCTGAAATTGCTTATTTACAGCAAAATTCAATCGTCACTCTATCAACTTTATCAAGCTGACTGTGTTAGAAAAGAAGCTGTTGAAAATTTGCGATTCTCACATTAGTGAAACTCAAATCATCCTCATGGCGTGATCAATGCACTTCCAAATGCAGTGTCACTGCCGAGAGTAGAGATTATCATTTATTACTTTAATTATTCATTTTTTTACTTGTTATGTGTAGCGATGCCTATCTTTACTGTCTTAAAACTTTTCTTAAATTTTTTGAAAAACTCTCTGTAATCAAACCTATATGTCTATTGGGCAGAGAACGGTTAATGATAAAAGTGTGGGATCGCATGATAGGACGAAACACGGTGGAGTTTAGACTCAAGGTAATTACAGTAGTAACAAAGCCTGTCAAAATTTTAAAGACGGTCGGCTAGCGAAAATGGACGTGCAGTAAATGGAATCGACAGAGGTACCTACTGTCTGTTTTCAGACACTATTTTCATTGTCACTGATTCTGTATCAAAGTGGTTTCATGCATTATGACTAACAGTGTATATGAAATAATGCCTAACTTCCTTAAGACCAGGTTTGGCGGCGTATTGCACCGACTCTATGCTCCTACTTGCCTCTGGATGCCTTTATGGAGTTTACTACTTTATGATATTTTAGCATTTGCAGTTACAGATGAGTTTCGCATCAATAATCTATTAGGGGAAGTGTTCCGAATCTTCACAGAGCTACTGTTGACGTCAAATCAAGACCACAGCTTAGTCTTAACGTTGCAAAGAGGGCGTTAATTCAGAGTTTGGCTTGCGAGAACTTGGGGACCCTGCGTAGCAAAAACCGGTTGAACGACTTAAGAAAAACAGCCAGTAGCCACAGATTTGAACTACTTGTACGTTTTAAGTTAGTTCCGTGTAAGAGAAGAATATCATAACTACTTTCTTTGCCTTTCATCCAGATTCGCTTCGTTGCGAACGTCGCACGAACGCAAGTCAGAGTGGTTGATTGTTGGGCAGGAAATCTGAGGTGTCAACTCTCCTCAACTACTGCCCATGTCTCTCGGATCTTCATGCAGGACAGTAGATTCAGAAAAGTATGGCAAAGCAGTTTGAGAAGATTTGGCCACGAACAGATGGCACTAACGAGGAACGAGCAACCACCATCTCAACCAACAGGAGCAGGCTCCTGAGCCGCTTCCATACCTCTACTTCGTCAGTAGACCATAACTGCATAACGGGCGAAAGTTTAGGGCGCAGTGCCCATGCTAATATCCTAAGAAAGCATTTTGAATTCATTCCTTTATATCGTCGAACTTTGAAACGTGGATGGCAACTTACCGTCAAGAGGGAAGGTTGAAAAATATAGTGGTTGATACACTAAGGCAGGACGGTCAAAATCTGAAAAATCCACTACGATAACGTTGCCAAAATGAGTACATTCATGCCTTAATCTTTCTGAACCGGAAGGTTATATTTCTTTTATCGTTTAATTAAAAAACAAGTCTTCTTTAGCCGCATGATATAATTTATTAATTCTGATCTTGTTCTTTATCTACCTTAAATTGTCAACCAGTGTTAGACGTTTCAGCAGTGCAGCATGGATTTTTTCATGCTAGCTACGAGGGCGCTAGTTATTTGATAGAAGAGTATCAATCCATCGGCAATTTCCGAAGTCCAGAAACCAAATGGTTCTTCACACGATCAGAAATAAGTGTTTCGAAGTGGTGACTTACGGTGAAAGCCTGTTCCGTTCAGGTTTTGTCACCACGGTCGAACCGCTGCCACCAGACACTAATCAGTCTGTGCAAACCACGTTGATCAAAGATGTAACAATTCATACACTACCTCATATGCAGCGTACTGGTCGAGTTCTTACGATAGCTTTGAGGTGAGGAGAGTCGTGTTCTATCGACGGTGGACCTCTCAGAACTTCGGCAGAGCCTCGGGAGGTGAATCAGTGGCGAGCAATGACCAGTCGAGTCGTGTGGCGTGTTCGGACGTCATCAGACGAATCGCCTGGTGACTTCAACGCTTCGTCTGCCGTGTTTCGGTGCGTCTTGCACGCACATCCATTCAAGTGCAAACTAACGGCTCAGGCCTTACACAGCGTCCAGAAAGGCAGCACCGTTGCAGACTATGAACACAAAGAAACAGCCTTTCACCGTCTCTCATCGGCCGTGTAACCGAACCTGTCTTGCACGCACTGCCGAAGCCTCTTTTTCGCCCTACTCTCGCACAGGCCCTTTCTCAGCTGACCTCAGCGCGACTGAGAATTGCACAAACAAAAAAAAGAAAATACTGCATTACAACAATAGAAGTGAAAATCGCACACAGGTGAAAGAAATGCACCGGTGCTTGCGGAAGCTAGCCTCTGGCTGAGGTAACACGTCGACCTCTATTCTCCTCAGCCGCTGCGACGGGTTTGAGGACAGTCACATGTCCTGATATGGCTGGCATGAGGGAGCCGGGCCACCAAAACGCAGTGGCTGAGTCTGACGCTGGTTGGCGCGGTTGCTGAAATTCAATTAGTGGCCCGGCGTTCGGCCGCAGTGCAAATGTCGAAGTTGTTTGCTTAATTAAATACTGACAAAGCGGGCCGTTGTCACCTGGTCGCAGAGAATGCGGAATATGCGAGGACCGTTTTCAGCCTACCGGACCTCTTTCGTTTCACCGCCGCAGTCGTGATAAATAGGCGAGCGCCGTCGTCTAGACGACTGAACAAGAGCTCACCGGCGAAAGTTCAGTAAGAACTTGCCCCCCCCTCAAACAACAACATACTATCGAGCGATCTATGGATAAGCGACAGATGATAGCCGAATATTCAGTCATGTACAGACGACTTCGAATTTTCCTCCTGTTGCTGATGGGCGAGGGAAGAAAAGTTTTAGGAGATGGAGTAACGTCAGTAGATACTCGTTTATAAGTTAGTCCATATATGATGCATAGGTGAAGAAAAGAGGCACCGAAATACTGCAGCGATAAACGGTCATAACCGATTGATGGCGTAGTAGAGCCAAGCATTACAAGTGGATTGAGCAAATGCGCGCCCACTCTTCAGTCCTTTCGATGCCATGTCCTTTCGGATCCAACGAGATCCTTCCATGTTACGGGAAGTCTGTCTGGCAACAACGTACCGTAAGGCTTTACGTTCAGTGTCCGCTTGGCGAGGTGACAATCATCCATTCGTTGGCAATGTCCCCGCCATTTCAAATGCCCTAATTGCAGCCAGTCGTCCTGCATAACTCCTAACATGGAACTTAAAACCTTCGCTTCCATCGCTTCCATTTTTCCGTTTCCAGCTTTGTTAAGTGCTGCCCTGACCAGGTCATAAAAAAAGATGTTCAGAATGCCAACTTTGTATATCCGCAGCATTGTGCTATTTCCAACATCGTTGACCTCCCACAACTTCAGTTAACTATCTCATTGTGAATAGTTAGCGCAAACACCCGCTGCCTGTCTTGAATCCGCATTGCCTTCATCCAAGATCTTCTCAAGATGCTATCTAATCAAGTCAACCACAAAACATGCATGAACACTGTAGCAAGGAAGCTTGTTCCAATGTAGTTATTCGTATCTGAGCAACAACCTTACTTAACTAATGAAACCTCAATATCTTTCGTCCCTTTATCCCAAATCTTCTCTTTCTGCCAAACCAATGTAAAGGATTCACCTAATGCCAGCAATGCGTTCATTCTAGCCTGCTTAATTAGCTCCAGTTGTAATCCGTACAGAGAGGGCGAATAGAGGTAAAATTAAGTATATCCGTAAACTATGCATTTTATTTTGATAAAGTCGTTTTATAACGACTCCCCCCTCTAGGTTGATACGCAACGGGATCGGTTGATCCACAAGTATAGAGTCGCCGAAGATGAAGACTTAATCCTCTTTAGACTGATCGGGCGCAGGGCCGTGTTAAAGTCGTCAAAGTAGATGCTGATTGCTCAGTCGATAGAACGTCGGACTCCT